TGAGGTGTATGTTTTAATACCAGAAACAGGAGTGAAAATAATAACAAATAAGATGACCAGTTCAAGTTGGAACTCCGGTTGGAATGGGAGAGAAAATTGCCAACAGAACTAAATCACTGGAATTTCAGTTCAGAAGAGTTCCATACAGTTTTAGGATTTCATCTGCATTACTGTTGTATTTTATGAAATGATTGATTCTCAGATATCAAACAAGCAAAAATGACTGCAACCACTTGCTGCTGGGGAACCCTGTTTCAGGCACCATGGGTTTATACGCAGAGGCGGGCCACCCAAAATTGGACAAAAGAGCTGGTCTGTGTAACAAAGACCGTAATTGGAACAAAAGACCTGCTGCTGGGAATTGCCATCATTTTTTGGCTGGCATGTTTCGAAGGTAATCTGTCACTGTTTTTAAACAGTATACCACTGTTTTGGGCATAGCGTGCCCGCAGAGTAGCATCACGTACAAAAGGGCTCTAGGGCCACATTGAGGAGAGACACAGCACTGCTGCATGCTAATCCAGTGGTGTTTGAAAGATGCCACTCGCATTCCCTGGGAACAAAGGAAATTATGCAACACCTCACAATTGGGCTCTCTCTACAGGGCAGCAGGCCTGGCTGAAATACTTGGGAGTCACTGGAGGTTGCCTGTCAGCTTTGAGTAGCCACCAAAGAGTCATTTGTGTGGGTGTAAACGTCCATTAAATGAAATGATGAGATTTTGAAGATTTTTGAAAACTGAAATTCTTGACAATGGCCCGTATGTGTGCACTGCATTTTTAAAAGCACCCAGCAGCAAGTGGTTAAAGTTCAAATAACTTGCTTCATAGGTTCATTTTAGTTGAGTTAGGAAGTGGGTGGTGTTGCTTTGTCTTCAACTCATAACTTTCACCTCATATTTCCTGTGCTTTGTCAGTACAGAGTACAAGATGTTCCCATAGATCTACCTGGATGGAGCCGATCCAATTCACCTTTCCAACCGCCCTTCCCTTTTGTGACCACCAAGATGTTAACCTCTCCGACATCAAGGAGCTCCACCCAAGTCAGTTCAAGTCAATCCCCAGGCAAGCTTGTCTTTCCTTTATTTCTGGCCTAGTATAGTTCCAAATTGTGAAAGATAAAGAAACGATTTGTCATGATCAAGGCTACTGAAATCAATTTCTTTGAACATTCACTCTAATTTCATTTCCTCAAATCTTGCATTTGGGACCTTCTTTACCACTCAGGACAGTGTGAAAGAGACATTTCCATGTCAGACTGGAGTCGTTTATTTTCCCTTTAAATTTTTGCTTCTAATTTTTTTGTGCGAGGTGCTAGCATTGGCCAATAATTAACCACTTGTTGGTGCATGGTCACTAAAACGAGTGAGATTGGATGCTTTACATTTGAATGGGCAGGGGAAGCCCTGCACTAGATCACATCTCTCTACTCGCCAGTCTTCTAGCGACAGGTGCAGTATGTACATATACATGTATGTGGGAATTTGCTCTGAGTCTCGTTGACATGAATCTTAGCTGACCTGTGGCCTAAGTCGAAACTGTGTATTCCTGTCATTTGCACCGGAACCCTTGAAGAAACAGTTCATCAAATCTTGTAGAAGGCATCACCATCTGTGAAATTCTTGAGGGCACTGTTTCAAATCCTAAAATCTATCATAAGGAATTTCTTCACCAGCTCCTTATCGTGTTGTATCTGTCATTTGTTCAACAGAGAGACCATCGCCAAAGCAAACTATGGGGCATGTTACCATCCTTTGTGACAAACTTTCACATCCACTCCAAGATGCTTGTATACAATGTATGGTACCAGCTGTACTAGATGAATCCCCACCCATTAATCTGTGGTCCACGTTTTCACTTCTACTTCAGATTCCACGCCCTCTTGGGACAACATTCACAATGTGTTCCACAACACAGCAGCATCTAGCTTTCCTGTCTCTCCTCTTCAAAGTCACAGGAGGACATTGGACTCAGTGGGATATC